CAAATGTTTTAACTTTGTTATCATTTAAGATTATTAGTAAGATTAATTTTATTTTTTAAATTCTTTAAATGTATCGTTCTTCTAATCTTTGTTATTAATTGGATCCTTAAGTTTTTATAAACTAAAGATCTAAATTATGCTAAACTATTAGTAATCATTATTAGGACCAAACATGTTTACTCTGTTTATATTATAAATTTAATATTGTTAGAACCAAGCCTTGAGTGGCAATTTCAAATCAGAAAAATGCATTTTCTTTATGAGTAATATCTCCTCAGATTTATGCAATGGTGCTGAACTATTTCGTCTATAGATTATGCGAGTGCTTTTAATTGTGTCAAAATTATCAATCTCTAGCTAAACTTTCCCAATATTTGGACTGCATTAAATTCAATTTTGCATCTTATTTTGATACAGATAGATTATTGCTAAGGGTCTCATATTTTTAATTGAATTTCCAAATCACATTATTACTTTTGAGAATGATAATTAAATGAGAGTACTTTAGAGATATGTCAAAAAATGAAGTAAAAGCGTATGTGCTTAATTGTATATTCAATTTTACATCAATATTAGAATAACTAAATTTACTTAATCTTTATTTTATTGTATTTCTTAAATTAGGCTTTAGATTGCAAGCAATCATTATATTTCAATACTGTTAATTGTTATAGCCCTTTTTAATTTTCCCAAAAGATTGTTTGGTTTTTCAACAAAATAGTTTATGATAAATTGTTCTTGCTCAAGTTAGAGGCACCTAAAATATCAAATATTGTCCATTCAACTTAATTTACATTATGCTTATGAATTCAAACAATGCATGAGCCAGTTAAAATGTTCCTCTTAGAGTGAAAAGGAATATCTAGTTTTTGAATAATTATTAATTTTAAGGTTCTTATAGGTACACCAGATACTCCTTACCTTTATCATATATTTAATTTTATAAATTGAACATTTTTAGTTAAGAAGAAGTAGAACAATCAGAACAAAAAGGATGTTGAGCCTTGAAAACATGAAACAATCCAATATTATTAAGCTAACTTTAATGACTCTGAAGATGATGCGAATTAACTACTACTGGAGGATAATCAAGATTAGCTTAGAGTATGAAGTTGTCAAGGTTTTACAGCGATTTTCTCAAAAATTGTTCAGTAAAAATTAGGATTTCAAAATCTTATTATCATTGATATAAAATGCTTTCTAATTCCACAATTTGTTCAACTTTCTCAACTTACATGGCATCCAATCGATCAGACGAATTTTTATTGAAAGATATATATTGATGAATACTTTGTATTTCAAATTATTCATTAACATTCCAAGTATAATCACGTCATCAATTAAATCATGGCATAATTGAATATTTGGGGCGCAGAGAAATTATTAGAAGAATTTCATATTCATTTAGTGTTAAGAATTCAAGGTGATGTATTTGTTTGTTTTGTAGACAGTAATTCTTTTAAATAAATAACGTGTGAGCTTAGCTTTCACTACAACTATTCTCACTAATTGTAACATTGATACTAGTGTATGCACATTATTTCTTAATCTGATTTCTCTTTTCCTGATCCAAAGAGTATTATACCTTCTGTGCTTTAAGCTTTAGTCGAACATATAATGAAGATAGTATTCAAATTATCTACTCCTTTTTGCATTAAATGAGATGTTCAAAATTAAAAAACAACGTGAGCTCAATAATGTATTTAATCTTAAGCATGTTTTACTTTTGTGTCATTTTTCATTTATGACATCTCAATATATTATAAAATTAATCACCTTCTAAATGGGATTCAAATCTAAATTACACATAAGCAAATTACAACACTTGTCTAAATTGGCATTTGTTACCAATAAATAAATTCAATTAGTGCCTCAACCTGATAGAAAATTGCTCCAATGCTTGTGCTAGATCTGCAACTTTGAAAGCTCAAAAGTTGCATTTATGAAGTTCATCAGTGGCATCAGGTATTAGAAATTACTTTTATCATAGTTCTCAAAATCCTCTTCACGACGAGAAGCTAATTACTTACGTTTAACTTCTTTAACACATATATTTTAGTATTTTCAAATAATTAAACTTCCTCATGAAAAAACCATGATCTTGATTTTCTCAGAGCATTTTGCCCTTCATTCCTCTTTTATTTTCAAGCAAACAGGCAAATTCTCATTCATGGCTGTGAATTATCCTTAAATTTCAAATATTCAAAACTTATTTTATCATTTCCTTTCTTATTTATTCTTTGAGTGTTTTTTATTAAAATCAAGTTCACTTATTGCTTTCGAGATGGATATCGAAGCAATCCTTTATTTTGACTTTCAGAGTCTATCCAATATTTCATCACTGCCAATATTGTTATTGTTGGTCAATATATAACAAATCTTCCTTTCTAAAATAAACTTGACTATTTCTTGTTCTTTCTATTTTACTTCTTTCACTTATATATCTAATTTCTTATGCTGTTTAATCTAATTCACTTCATTAATGATAATGGATTACCAACTTAATTTTACTTCTAGCAGTTGATCTAATTCTCTTAGACATCTTGCTCTTACTTGAGCATATTTGTAAAAACAATATTTAAAATAATGATATGAAAAATGATTTCTCTATTCAAAGAGTATTTATATCATGAATTGTGATTGTTTAATTCAGAAGCAAAGGGAAAAAAAGCAAAATTAGGGATATGAATTAACATCGATAGATAAGTAAAATTTGATGGTTTTAATTGATTTGCCACCTAGCATGAAAAAGCGGTTGTATACCTCATCGTTGAAACCAAAAAAAATCCAATTTGTGACTCATGACATCTTAATAATCCTGTTCTGTATTTTGATTAGGTAGATTTCATTATCCTCTATCAACTCCCATAAGTATTATCCTTCTATCATAAATATCTTAATTCCAATTATTA